AAACAAAATATTTTCAATCTGTCAAATTCACAAAGATGAAAAGAATATTAGATGCTGGGGGGAAGATACTTAGAAATACTTCCGGTTGTCATGGACACAGGGACAATTTTTCTTACAGGTACTTGGGGGCCCTTAAAACATACCAAGCTTTCCCCCGCCAATAAACCCACTTCTGGAAACTTTACAACAGAAACCATCAAAGGAGCACAGCCATTTATGCAAGGCCATGCGGCACTATTTAGAACAGTAAATGAAATGGGCACCTCATGAATCCATGTTTAAATGTACATTTACATTCACTGGAAGCACACACCATAAAATGACAACAGTCATTACCTTCAACAAGATTACTAATACATTTTGTTTTTTCTTATTTCAAAGTTTCAAATTTTCTGTAATGGACACTAACTACTTCTAAAAATGTACCTTTGTAAACTTTACATACATTCTTTCAGAACAATACTTAAATAGTGAAAAAAAACAAAACAAAACATAAATTCCTCCCTGTCTCTTCACCATCAGCAACCACGGTTGAAAGTTTGAGTGTGATTCTAAATACTATTTCTGACACACATATGTATATAAACGCATTTTATTATCTAGATGTCATTATGCTATTTGTTCTGTTCTGCAACTTCATGTTCTTCACTTATTACAGCTTAGAGATCTTTTCATGTTAACAGATATTGACCTCTTTGTAAACAGCTGAAGCGGTAAGTTAAAGGAAAAGATTCAAGAGGACTTGGCTCTTCTGCCACTAGCAGAAGAGCTTAGAACTTAATACTATCTCCAAATAGAAGTAGAAATTTTATGAGGTGTGAGTTAAAGCAATTATTCTCTTTCTGTGGGAGAGTAAATAGAAGGCAACAGCAGGGGAGATTTCATTGGCATCAGAAACCATCTCTTGACCACCATTCCTTAGACACAGACAGCTCTGCACCAGCTGGACTATCATGTTCCCAGGAAATTGTCCTCCTCCCAGCTCCACCTCCCGCATAGGAGCAGAAAATCAGAAAGTACATACATGTTTCACTTGATAGAAACATCTTGTTTTCAGACGAAGTTAAGAAGTCTCTCCAACTGCCCCAATTCAGAAAAATTGTCATCATCATTTCATCAATACACATGAACAACTTTGCTGAAGTATTATTTGCACTAGGCAAATACATTTCATTAGCATTTAGATCACCAAAACACATATTACTCATTTTTCCCCAAGAATGAGTAACGATTTAGAGAGACTTGCCCAAGGGCCCTAGGTGGAATCTGCTTCTAAAAATTTGGGTCTCAACACACAAAATTTCACTGTAACATAAGTATTGGGAACTCTCAGTTTCTCTCATTTCAGAAAGAGCAAGCACGTGAAAGTCTGCATTTTGATTTCGAACCATAAACGCTCTGTATGCATAATCTTTTGGTTAAGAATACTGACATTGTTTTCCCATCTATAAAAACCCACCGGTAACCTGAACAAATAAAAAGAAGATGAATCCTTGAGCTGGCGGTACTGATGACCTCAGTTTGCTACATCTAGAGACTGAGGTTATAATCCTGATGTTCATGACTCCTATGCAAGAGAGAAAAATGCTGTCCTAGAGAAAACACTTGCTTAGGTCACTGAAACAGCAATTCTTCACAGAGGGTCTTTCACGTAGTAAGTATCAAGGCAGTGCATGCTTAGTGGCTCCAGTCCTTTCTGACTGTGCGACCCCACGGACGGCAGCCCACCAGCTCCTCTCTCTACGGGATTCTCCAGGCAAGAATACTGGAGTGGGTTCTCACGTTCTCCTCCAGGGGATCTTCCCAACCCAGGAATCAAACCCACGTTTGTTAAGTCTCTTGCACTGGCCGGCGGGTTCTTTATCACTACTGTCACCCGGGAAGCCCTGTATCAAGGTAAGGCAATTAATTTTTGCCAGCCTGCCCTAAAAGCACCAGTGCCAAATCAAGTGAAACAGCGATGCCTAAAGGAACATAGCAGTCTACTCAAACTGGGATGTAAAAGTCTCGAAAAAATTACGTATCATTAGTAATTCAAATCAATCACTGCTACCTTCCTCCTTTTTCTGTGTGAATTTTTTTCTAGCTTCTCAGTTACAACCAAACAGAATCTGACAATCTCTTTCATATCCAAGACTCAACTTCTCCAAGTAGCTTCTCCTAAAGATGCCCCCATCCACTACAGGATTTGGGGTCCTGGAGGAGAGACCCATGGGCAGCAGGATCGTAGGCAACTTCATACCTGTCAGGCTAAGTTTCTTCACTTAGTGTTTTGCAAAGTGGGATATGTGTATCTCCTCCTCTGATGGAGTAAGACATGCATTCAAGTGGTTGGCAGATCACTATAGTCTAAATGTTCACATCCTCCCAAAATACATATTGAAATCTTAACTCCCAAAGACGATGGTACTAGGAAGTGGGGACCTTTGGGAGTTGCTCAGAAGTCATGGGATCGAGCCCTCATAAATGGGGTTGTGCTTTATACAAGAGGCCCCAAAGAGCCGCCTTGCTCCCTTCTGCCTTATCAAGGCTTTGAGAAGTCTGCAACCTGGCTGGAAGAGGGATCCCAGCCAACTCTGCTTGTTCCCTGATCTCAGACTTGCAGCCTCCAGAACTGAGAAAGAAATTTGCTATTTATAAGCCAATCAGTCTGTGGAACTGTGTTCTAGCAGCCCACATGAGCTAAGACACAGATAAACTAATTTTTAGTATAAAAATGTGTTAGAAAAATGAACAACTACTTTTAAAAATGTACCTTTGTAAACTTTACATACATTCTTTCAGAACAATACTTAAATAGTGAAAAAAAACAAAACAAAACATAAATTCCTCCCTGTCTCTTCACCATCTACAAAACTCAGGATTTTGTAGCAATTATTGGCAAGAATGAGGATTAATAAAATGGAGTCAGTTTAAAGTTGACTGAGGGACTTCCCTGATGGCCCTGTGGTGGAGTCTTTCTTTGCCTTCCAGAGCATGGGGTGCGGGTTCAATCCTTGTTCAGGGAACTAAGACCCCACAAGCCTTGGGGTCAAGAACCCCAAACATAAAAAAGAAGCAATAATGTAACAAATTCAATAAAGACTTTAAAAATGGTCCACATAAAAATATTTAAAAAATAAAGTTGAAACAATAAAATTCAACATAAAGTTCAATTGATAAAGTTGGTTGAAAGAAACAGTGCTTCATAGTCAAGTATCACAAAGATGCACAAAACTCGAGGCAGCTTAGAGATGCTTAGGATGTTTCTGTGATCATGAGCTTTGCTCTCCTGGGTCTAGCTCATCTCATATCCTCACTGATTCTCAAACCTTCAGCTGCATTTTCTCAGCAAACTATTCCTGTTAGCATTTAAACATACCCACAATTTTCTAATCTTTAAACAAAAGAAGACCCTCCCTCACTTCCCTTTCAACTCATTTTACCCTCACAGCCCAGTGGTTGAAACAGCTACACTCACTGGCTGCACAGTCTCATCCTCCACATGCGCCAATCTGGCTTCCACACCTACCCTGCAAGGACACAACTCACCTGATAATAAATACACACGGTGAACGCAGCAATCATTATCTCACTTTGTCTTTCCAGAGCAGCCAGCGGGGCTGCCCTTCCTTCCACCAAATTACATGCCATTTGCCAGGGCTTCCCTGATAGCTCAGCTGGTAAAGAATCCGCCTGCAATGCAGGAGACCCCAGTTCAATTCCTGGATCAGGAAGATCCACCGGAGAAGGGACAGGCTACCCTCTCCAGTATTCTTGGGCTTCCCTTGTAGCTCAGCTGGTAAAGAATCTGCCTGCAATGCGGGAGACCTGGGTTTGATCCCTGGGTTGGGAAGATGCCCTGGAGAAGGGAAAGGCTACCCACTCCAGAATTTTGGCCTGGAGAACTCCATGGACTATACAGTCTTACTCTTCTTACTTCTTACTCTTACTCCTTACTCTACACACTCCTGGGTACTTTTCACCCACTTTCCCAGCTTCAAAAATCATGCCCATACTGATGATCCACAAACCCATGTCTCCAGTTCAAGTCTCTCCACTGAGCTCCTGACTCGGATATTCTACAGGAATCTCAATTCCAACACACCCACAATGGAATCATCAGCTTCTCTCTATGCTCATACTATGGAAATAGGAGCATCCACCTAGTTGCCCGAGACAGGGATGATTTTCCTTGAATCAAGTCCATAAATATACCCACCCAAGTCATCTCCACGCCTACCTCCCCAGTGATGTAGGTTTGCTTCTTTGCCTTCTAGTCTCATATCAGTATAGGCTCCGGTCATCTGTAACCTAAGCAGCTGCAAAGGCTTCATCACTGGGGCCCATTCTCGCTGCCAACTTCACAGCACATGAATCTATAGCTCCCACAGCATCCTAGGGTAAGGTTCACAATTCCTTAACATGGATCCTCTGGGCTCTCTCTCCTGGACTGGGCTTTAGTCACATGAAGAACATTCTAGTTCAAATTCTACAAACAAGTCTTTGGGTCTTTGCATGTTCCTAAAACACCCCTCCCCAGTCCCTGGCTCAAAGCTGCTCTTGCTCCAGGTTTCAGCTTCAACATTTCTATGTTCTTCCTCTCATGTCATTCACCATCCTGTATTGTAACTCATTTCATGTCTGCCTTCCCCTTTGTACAGCACATTCCATGAGGGCAGTAACCACACATGTCTTACTCATCCTCACATTTTCAGGGGCTGGCATTGTCCCTGGCACTATAGTGGATATGCAATAAATATTTCTTGAATGAGAGAATGAATAAACAGCTATTCAGACACCAAAAGAAAATGAGATCTCTAAAGGCCCTTAAGACTGTCTGAAACAGCAAAAATACCAATTACACTTGATTACAGAAAACATAATTTTGTTTTTCAACTACTTAAAGAATGGTGCACAAATGGCTGTGAGAATCATCCAGTTTTTAGCATCAAATCCAGACAGGTTCCCTTCTAAGGGATCTGAGTGTTTTATTGTCTGATAAGCTACTCAACAGTTACCTTGCTCACTTCCTTTAAGGCTCTTTTGCAGACTTCATATTTTGGAGAGTCCTTAGGTGTCTTTTGACAGATAGTCTGCAATGAAATAAAAGAAGAACAAAATCAGCTGATTTATTCTATTAAGTAAAATAAAACCAATGTCCAGCCATATACTCTTACTCATAGCAAACTTAACAATGCTGAACACAATACTATGGATGAGTATAAAGACGACATTAAAATAGGAAATAGTCTTTAAAAGCACAGGATCCACGTTCATCCAGAGGATGAATTAATAAGAGGATAGACTTCAGAGGTGGGTGAATCTGGTTTCTAATTCTAGATCTGCTCCTTATGAGCTATTCGACCTTGGGCAAGTCACCTTCCCTTATAAGCTTCTATAAGCCTCAGTTTCCTCATCTGTAAAATTGAGATAAAGCCACCTATAAAGCCACAAGGCTGTTAAAAAAGTTAAATGACAATGCATGGGAAGTTCTTTATGAATAACCTGCATACAGTAGGTCTCCAATCAATGACAAAATTACTTCAATGGTCCCTGTTATCATCATCATTATTAGAGGTTATTACATTTGCAGATGATATCATCTGCAAGGTCAAGAAAAAATGGCTGCTGGGTTTTTTCTTGATATGCTCATACTGCAATTTTTGTGATGATAAAATTGAGTTCAAAAATCATCAACTGAAGCCATAATGAATTATACATAACTTTTGAAACTATATCCGTTCAAAGCCAACAAAACCATTTCAATTGTTAAAAATGTTAACCTCAATTAACAAGTGTAACTAAATCTCCAAATGAAGTAAAATCGAAGAGATCATGTTTTAAGTACATTGAGATTCTGCCCAGGTGGCCTGATTCTCACACATGGGCCACAGATGAGGGCAACAGGTATCCAGCGGAAGCGGAAGACACGAGAAACTAGCAAACCACGGGTACCTTACACGCAGAGGAACACCAAGCCTGTGAATCTCAAAGTCAGGTGTCAGGAATGCTATGTGTGACATGTAAGAAGCACAGACCGGACCACTGGTGGTTTTATATTAATGTACTCAAAATTTTTTCGACTATGACCCCACTGTAAGAAATACTTTTACACTGCAACTAGTACACATGCATACAAAATGAAAGTTTTTTATGAAATAATATTTAATCACATTATGAACAATGTATATATCACATACTGTGTGTTCTACTCCATACTCATCTTCTAAAAACACTACCCATGATTCAAAAGTCAATTTCATAACCCACTAATGAGTACAAAAGCAGTTTGAAAAATATTAGTTTTTATTTCTGGGAGAAGGCTATACTTTGTACACTTTTTCTTTTCAAAAGAAAAGGCTATTTCTTTTGTACACTTCAATTTTATGTAAAATTTTGCACACACGAGGAAGTCATTCTTCTAGGAAGAATGACTACAGCTTAATCTACAATCTCAAAAGAGTCTCTGACCCCAAAAAGTATCATTTCTTTTTAGAGTCTGTGTGATAGACATGATAAATATTGATACAAAAAATCAGAGCTAGATTTGCAAAACTGCAAGTTTCCCAATATTTACAAGGAGAGAAGTCCCTAAATCACATAAGATGGACAAGGATCAGTGCAAAGGTAGTAGACCAGTAGACTGAGGTGACCTAGGAGAGCAGAAAGTGCTGTGAATTCTGAAAAGACAGCTGAACCTCAACACTGCGGCTGGGCCAAGAAAGTGACCACAATCCCACCCTTTCACTAGTTCCTAAATTTCACAGCTTCTTTGAATTTATAACGGAATAGAGAAAATGGTATTTATTTTGTAATCTTAGACAATCATAATTTTTGCTATATTTTTATCCTGTATTTTGACTTATAAAAAGCAAGCATGTCAAAGCTGACATCATATTATCATCCAAATTTAAAGCAGAACTATGCCAAGATATTTTAACTTGATCAGAAAGATACTCTTTGAACTACCATATGATCTAGCAATCCCACTCCTGGACATATACACGGAAAAAACAAAAACTCTAATTCAAAAAGATGCACGCAACCTGATATTCCTAGCAGCACTGTTGACAATAGCTAAGATATGGGAGCAGCCGAAATGACCATCAACAGACAACTGATTTAAGGTGTGGTTCGTATATGTAATGGAGTACTAGACATAAAAAGGATGAAATCACGCCATTTGCAGCAACACGAATAGACCTAGAGATTATCATACTAAGTGAAGGAAGTCTGACGGAGAGAGATAAATACTATATGATATCACATATGTGGAATCCAAAAAAGAATACAAATGAACCTAAAGATAAAAGAAAAAACTCACAGATGCAGAAAACTTAAAGTTTCCAAAGGAGAAAGGACAGCAGAGCAGGGATAAATTAGGAGTTTGGGATTAACAGACACAAACTACTACATATAAAACAGATAAGGATCAAGGAGTTACTGTATGAAAAAGTAAATATCTTCTAATAACCTATAATGGAAAACAATCTGAAAAAATATATATACATAGGGTATATCTGAATCACTTTGCTATACACCTGAAACTAACACAATATCAAAAATCAACTATAGGTCAATTTTATTTAAAAAAAAAAGCAAAAGGCGCTTGTTTGCACACCAGCTGGATGGGCGGCACATCAGTCACCCCTTTCTCCTGCGGCTGCCACGGCGGTTTCAGCCCAGCCAGTGTGCAGCCGTCCGGGGCCACCGCCTGGCGGTCCTCCCCGCTGTGCTCCCCGCCGGCCCGCCTCTGCTCTCCCCGCAGTCACGTCCTGCACTGCTCACAAGCAAGTACGTGTTTTCTTCATGAATATTCCCTACGATAAGATCAGATGTCTGGATTTTCCTCACTCACTCTGAGCGATGCAAACTAGGGCAGGTTTATGCCTTGTGATGCTGCAGACTCTTCCCGTGTGAAATGGGAGCCCTTCGGCAGCTTGGGGCATCCCAGGCGGCACCAGCGGTAAAGAAGCTGTCTCCCAACACAAGAAGAGACGCGGGTTCAATCCCCGGGTCAGCAAGATCCCCTGGAGGAGGGCATGGCAACCCACTCCAGTTCTCTTAGCTGGGAAACCCCACGAACAGAGGAGCCTGGTGGGCTACCGTCCGAGGGGTTGCAAAGAGTCGAACATGACTGAAGCCAGTGAGCACACATGTGGCAGCTTGGAAGATGACAGAGAAAGGGATCCTAGGGACCCAACAAGGAAACTGAGGCCCAGAGAGGTGAAGTGACAGGCCAAGGTCTCATGCCTGGCGTTTCAGCCGCAAAGGAATTCAGGACTCCTGACTTCAAAGTCAATGTTCTTCCCATTTCAGAAAATGTTAAGTAAGGGTTGTAATCTAACTTCTTTAGAGCGACCACACAAGCCTAAAGTGAAGACAGTTTCCCATGTGGGACTTTCTAGCCAAACAGCATCTTCTCACTGAATTGGGAAATGTTATGGAAGGGATTTAATTTAAGCGGAAGAAGAATAATTTTCTTAATCAGATTTGTTGCAGCAACAGCTATCCGCAGAGGAAGAAGACACCAGGTCACATCTTACATCCATCAGCAGGGGCAGGCGGGTCACCCTCTGCATGGGGAGAATGAGGAACGAGATCATGGGAAGGTTCCTGCAGTCTTCATGGGACTCGATTCGGGACAGAACTTCCTTGAAGGACGGGTTGGTGGCTCTGAGGGAAAACAAAGAGACAAAACTTCAAAGTATTTCCTCTTTAAGTTAAGAGTCAAGTCAAAATGTATTATAAAACACTGTGATAAACGTATAGATTATCAATGATTTTTAAATATATAAACAACATAAACACATAATAGGTGGACATGGATGGCTTCGTCGCTTGACAGTCAAGACTGAATATAAGTTTAAGATAGTAATAAGAATAATAAGATGAAAATATTAGGTGCCAGAAATTTTTAGAAGTAGAAAGTAAACAAATGAAGAAAGCAGTGGTATCATAATGGTGAATGCACACATTAAAAATTAGTATACACACTACATCTCATATCTGATCATCTGCAAACATTCCACGAAAAAAAGGACACGTTTTAAGCCACGTCTCTAGCCTGAGATAATAATCTAAGAAAGAAATCTCAGGATTTACTTACTAGGAGGCTTTTGGACTTTTCCAAAGCTTCTAAGACAGAAAACCTTCTGACTATGTCAGCCAGAATATCCCTCCTCTCCCAGTGACATTAGAACAGGAACAACACTGCCACAACATTTCTACGGAATTTAGCAAGATACACGGACATGAAGGGTCTCATGTGGCACCATCCACGTAACTTTGAAGGGGATTCCAGTAAGAATGTGGCATCTCAGCAAGGTCCCCAACTTGCCAAATAAAAGATCTAGCATTCGGTGAAGACAGAAGTTAAGCCAAGGTCTTCTGACTTTCAGCGGGTCCCTGACATGGCATCTCCTGTTCTGTCACCTCACTTCACCCTAAGGGGAGCTCTGTGGCGTTACAGAGTGACTTGTGAGGGGGACGTGGAGGAGGGGTTGACCTCAGGTTCTGTGAGCCCCTGGTGAGGGGTGAGGGAGGCCAAGAAGCAGGGTAATGGCAACTGAAACCTTTTTCCAAAAAATTATACTTTGAAACTTAGATGATTTGCTTCAAGGCTGCTAGAAAGAAATCAGGAAATACCCAGAACTGCAAGTTAAAAGAAAGTACTCAGAAATGTTATAATTTCCTTTTCTTAAACTGAGGAGTTAAGTTTCCTGCTAACTTTGAAAAAAAATTTTTAGGAAATTAAAAAAGAATTAAATTTTAAACCAGTTGCATGTTTAAATCACTTCCTGCCACCTCCAAAGATTCTGAGTCTAGGATGGACCCTGGGCATTGTTTGTTTGCTGGTTTTCAGATTCCAAAGTGCGGGTAAAGCTCAAAGTCACAGCCCCAAAGGTAAATTTACATTCTGAAAACACAACTACTAATTTCCATGTGAAAGCTCAAATGATGATATTATTGAGCTAATTTAAATAAAACCTTTAGTTTTAAAGAGTTACACAGAGTACAGCAGTACTTATTCAAGTTTTTTTAATTTTTTTTTAATCTGGCAAAACAAAACTTAATTTAGCTCTAATTCCAGGCTTTGGCTTTTACACTTGTCACTTGGATTTTACAACAGTTAAAGAGTAACCTTTACATCGCAGTTCCCATGGCGGATAAGGGGTGATGAGGGCATCAGGTAAGGTCTGGAGACATTTCTGGTTATCACAGCTGAGGTGAGGCTGGGCTTCCAGCAGCTGGTGGACCGGAGCCTGGGGAGCTACAATGTATAGAACAGTCTCCACAACAAAGACTAGTCTAGGACAAAATGTCCGGCAGCGTGGACAAATCCTGCTTTGTGCTAATAACCTCATTTAGGGCTGGCAGCTGTGGGGTTTCCTCCCTGCCTGTACAAGATTTTAAGGAGGATGTGGAGGGGGAACCGGGCATCATCAGCCCTTCTCACCCACGCGGGGGCTGCTCCTCTAAGGAGCCATGAGGCCATCATCACCAGAGGGTCTCTCACATTGTCTAGAGACTGGCCAGCGCGCCACGCTTCAGTCAGAACACCACAGCTCACAGAAGGGTGACAACAGCCAGCCAGCCCCCAAGCTGAGTTTACAGCGATGTCCAGCTGTACGGCCAGACACGGAGCTCCGGGGGGCAAACAAGCCCCGGCCCCAGTAAAGCAATGCAGACATTGCTGAACCACTGCCGAATGCTTTCAGACTAGAGATGGCATATCCATCACACCAACACTCTCAGTAGCCTAAACAGAACAAAGGGAAAAGGTGTGTGTGGAAATTTAAGGTTTACTTCTTTTTTGTTTCACAATTAGAGCCTTTAAGAACTAAAAAAAAAAAAAACAAAACAAAACAACTGCCTTCCTTCAGACCATCCTTGTTTTCCTCACACCTAACCATCCAGAGGGAAAAGATGAGTGATTCCCATAAACAACTAAATACAGAGCTGTCATTTGAATGGAGGAAGATTAGCATACTAGAGGACACTTGGCTCCTAGGCACCAGTTCAAGAACTATATCGTGGCCTCAGGCAGACTATTTAATGACCAGATAACAGCTTAAAGAACAACCTTCTCACCATTTAGAATGTTGATCGTCCATCATCATTGCCCTCCCCCAGCCCGCCACCCAAATCTTGCAGGAATTAAAAAAAAGAAACGAGAAAAAACTCACCAAGCTATAATCTCAGAAGAGCGTTAAAGAAAATTCTCCACAATTGCGCTTTTCTAGTCTAACACCCCTGCCCAAAAGCACTTCTCTTCCCAAAAGACATGTAATTTAAGAGATCAATGAATTTCAATCAGTGTGACCAGATTAAAATATGATTAGATCATTAAAGCCGCAATATTCAATACTGCTTACAACAATTTCTGCAGTGTCCGCTGTTGGTAGACTTCATTTGTGCAGTATTTCACATATGGGTCAAATGTGGATGCTGTGTGCTTTTCCACAATGTCACTTATGTCCTCTATGAAGATATTATTCTGATGTCTTGCTTCCAACTCTGTAAAGAATCTAAAAAAAAGAAAAGCATTTACACTGCTTTCTATATGCTTTAATAGACAACAGATTATCCTCATGAAATGCTATTATACAGGGTTTGAAAATACCAGCAGTACATGGTGCCAAAAAAATACAGTCTAAGTTTAAACCTATCATATTAACATCTTATTCCTTCATATGAAAGTGAAAGTGTCCGTCACTCAGTCGTTTCTGACTCTTCGTGACCCTATGAACTGCAGTCCACCAGGCTCCTCTGTCCATGGATTCTCCATGCAAGAACACTGGAGTGGGTTGCCATTACCTTCCCCAACCCAGGGATCAAACCCAGGTCTGCCACATTGCAGGCAGATTCTCCACCATCTGAGCTACCAGTGAAGCCCATTACTGCGTACGGCTAGCTTAAAACATTGATAGTCCAGGACATTTCTATGCTTTCAGGTATATTTTGGAATGTACAGATCTCACTATTTTTCAAGAATTCCCTAGATACTTGGGGACGGGATGCAGCATTAATCCTTACATATATTATTGTATTGAAAAGCATATAAGCAAAATACCTAAATAAGTGCCTAAAAACTAAGTCTGAAACAGACCTAATTCTATGGAGCCTTTCTCTCCAAATAAAAATAATCATATCGTTTACATCTAACATAATACATGACACTTAAATGACTTTGTAAATGCTTTAGACTGCAATTTAGAGTTTCCTTGTGTGCACTCACACACACCTATATTGTGTCTAGCCCAGTCAAAATTAAATTTCAGATAAACAATGAATAATTTTTTAATACAACTGTGTGCAAAATAACTGTATAGGACACATCTTGGGTGTCTTGCATTTCTTCTGTCAACCTTATATTGGATCCAATTTTAACAAAGTATCAAACTCAGATATTTGAAACAGAGTGTTCTTCCTCTGGCCCACAGACCAGCAACACTGGTATCACTCAAGAGCTTATCTAAAAGGCAGAATTTCACCCCTCACGTCTCCCAGTCTGAACCTGCACTTTATCAAGACTGCCTGATGGTCTGAACGCATACTAAACTGAGAACTTCCCTACAGCACACTTACTGACCCTGTTCAGAGCAGCAGGAAAATCTACCAAAAATAACTCTCACACAAGGACTAAAGGGTTTTCTCAAGTCTGAAGAAGGTGAAATCAACAACAATGTCTAATGTTGACTCTAGAATATTAGTACAAGGGAAGGTTAGTTTTGGTATTTAGCACGTCATTGCTCCTTACCAGTTTGTTGGGTGGACTCCATAATACAAAATTCAAGACAGACAGTGAATGAGACAACAGAAATTTATACAAGATTATTAATGGTATATGTGGGCTAACATTTTCTCACATTTATATCTCAGTTCTTTTCAAAGAAAATCTTGTCACTCAGAAACAAAACAACTAAGACGTTAAAGATCTTATTTTCATAAGGGTTGGGAAGATCCCCTGGAAGAGGAAACAGCAACTCACTCCAGTATTTCTGCTGGTATAATCCCATTAACAGAAGAGCCTGGTGGGCTACAGTCCATGGGGTTGCAAAGAGTCAGACACGGCCAAGTGACCGAGCATGCATGCATGTTGACATGTACATTAAACTCATTTTAATATAAATTATATTAGCTTGTCATCATTATCTTTTCTATTTTTATTTTTTTTTTTGACTGCACCACACAGCTTGTGGGATTTTAGCTTCCCAATCGGGATTGTGCAAAGAAAGTGAAAAGTGCCGAGTCTTAACCACTGTACTACTACTCAATTTTAAAAAGTCTCCAAAGGAGCTTACAAGACAAAGAAATAGATTTTAACTTCCTAGAAGAATTAAAATTTATATTCTGGGAAAGCACCTACATGTTTATTACCTCTAAAAAGGACTCAGGAAAATAGTCAATATGGTTCCTATCCACATGACCTCATCATCCAAATTCCTTGTTTAAAGAGCAAGAGGAGCAAATAAAAGCACACTCTGCTAGACTTTTCAGCCTTCCTTCCAATGGGATCAGGCTGAATAAGCACAGTGTCCCCCAGGATCAGAGAGCAGGTCAGAAGAACACATCTATGTTTCAAAACTCAGTCAGTGACTTCATGTCACTTTGTCACGCTGAGTTTATTCAACTTTCAAAAAAAATATCAAACCCTCTCTAAAAGGTTTCAGAATTTCAAAAATGTCCAACTCCAAACCCTCCACAAACAAAAACCATGTTACTTCCTATCTAGACTAGTCCCTCACTTCAAGAAATCTATGATCTATTAAGACGGTAAGAATGGTAAATATAAATGATACAGGAAAACAACATGCTTGTATATAATTGACTACATGGTGAAACATATGCATAAGAGTGCTGGTGGCAGTATCTTTTTTAAAAAAGTATACAAACTATATATCTTTTATTGTAGTAAAATACATATTACATAAATGCTGCCATTTAAACCATTTTCAATGGCTTTAATTACTGTCAGTATTGTGCAACCATCATCACTATTTCCAAAATACCTTCCTCACCCCAAACCGAAATGCTGTGCCCATAAAGCAACAACTCCCCGTCCCCCTCTCCTCAGCCCCTGATAACCTCTCATCTTCTATCGATCTCCGTGAACTTGCCTATTCTAGATATTTCATGTGAGTGGAATCACACAACTTTTCCTCTAGCTTATTTCACTTAGTATTCTGTCTCCAAGGTTCATCCATATTGAGGCGTGTATCAGAACCTTTTCTTCTTTATGGCTGAATAATATTCCATTGTAGGTACTTACTATAATTTATTTATAATATGAACAGGTTGTTTCCACCTTTTAACTACTGTGAATAATGCTTCTGTCAACATACCCATCTGGGTATCTGTTTGACTGGCTGTTTTCAGTTCTCTGGGATATATATCTACAAGTGGAATTTCAACCTTGCTGACTCTGCCACTAGTAGTGTATACCAAGAAATGACAGTATAATAACAAGAATCAATCAGAAGAAGCTGAGTTAGATGCCAAGGAGAGGTTATCTCATTAAACGAAGGTTGAGTAAGAAATAAAGGATAGAAATGATATGGACCTAACAGAAGCAGAAGATATTAAGAATAGGTGTCAAGAATACACAGAAGAGCTATACAAAAATGATCTTAATGTGTCAAATAACCACGATGGCTCACCTAGAGCCAGACATCCTGAAGTCCGAAGTCAAGTGGGCCTGAGGAAGCATCACTATGAACAAAGCTAGTGGAGGTGATGGAATTCCAGTTGAGCTATTTCAAATCCTAAATGCTTGTGAAAGTGCTACACCTAATATGCCAGCAAATTTGGAAAACTCAGCAGTGGCCAAAGGACTGGAAAATGTCAGTTTTCATTCCAATCCCAAAGAAAGGCAATGCCAAAGAATGTTCAAACTACTGTACAATCACATTCATCTCACAGGCTAGCAAAGTAATGCTCAAAATTCTCCAAGCCAGGCTTCAACAGTACATGAACTGTGAACTTCCAGATGCTCAAGCTGGATTTAGAAAAGCCAGAGGAACCAGAGATCAAATTGCCAACATCTGTTAGATCATAGAAAAAGCAAGAGAGTTCCAGAAAAAAATCTGCTTCTGCTTTATTGACTTTGCCAAAGCCTTTGGTTATGTGGATCACAACAAATGTGGAAAATTCTTAATGAGATGGGAATACCTCACTACCTTACCTGCCTCCTGAGAAATCTGTATGCAGGTCAAGAAGCAACGGTTAGAACCAGACATGGAACAATGAACTGGCTGCAAATTGGGAGAGAAGTACGTCAAGCCTGTGTATTGTCACCCTGCTTATTTAACTTATATGCAGAGTACATCATGAGAAATGCTGGACTGGATGAAGCACAAGCTAGAATCAAGACTTCTGGGAGAAATATCAACAACCTCAGATATGCAGACGACATCACCATTATGGGAGAAAGTGAAGAGGAACTGAAAAGCTTCTTGATGAAAGTGAGAGGTGAATGAAAAAGCTGGCTTAAAACTCAACATTCAGAGAACTAAGATCATGGCATCTGGTCCCATCACTTCATGGCAAATAGATGGGGAGACAATGGAATCAGTGACAGACTTCATATTTTTGGGCTCCAAATGACTGCAGATGGTGACTTCAGCCATGAAATTAAAAGACACTTGCTCCTTGTAAGAAAAGTTATGACCAATTTAGACAGCATATTAAAAAGCAGAGACTTTGCTTTTACTTTGCTGACAAAGGTCCATCTAGTAAAGCTATGGTTTTTCCGGTATCATGTATGCATGTGAGAGTTGGACCATAAAGAAGGCTGAGCGCCGAAGAATTGATGCTTTTGAACTGTGGTGTTGGAGAAGACTCCTGAGAGTCCCTTGGACTGCAAGGAGATCAAATCAGTCAATCCTAAAGGAAATCAGTCCTGAATATTCATTAGAAGGACTGATGGCTGAAGCTGAAGCTCTCAATACTTTGGCCACGAGATGCAAAGAACTGACTCATTGGAAAAGACCCTGATGCTGGGAAAAATTGAAGGCAGGAGGAGAAGGGAACAACAGAGGATGAGATGGTTGGATGGCATCACTGATTTCATGGACATGAGTCTGAGCAAGCTCTGGGAGTTGGTGATCGACAGGGAAGCCTGGTGTGCTATAGTCCATGGGGTCGCAAAGGGTCAGACACAACTAAGTGACTGAACTGAACTGAGTAAGAAATGGGTCTTTACCTCCTGATGGTCAGAGGTGAGTGGCCCATGGGAGGCAGGGAGCCAATCACTTGCAATATGAGACCTAAGACAGGGCCATACAGTGAAAACGACAGTGTAGGGTGGGGCAACTGGAGGCCCGAAGCAAGGAAAGGTGTGAGGGGTCATCAGTGATGAGGATGGTAATGCAGGAGGCCAGGGGACAGAGCACCTGCAGCAGGTCACCCTGTGGGCAAAGGCACGAATCTCATTCAGAAAAACTGTGGGGTTTAGCAAGCTGAGATGTCAACCACAGGAGGAATAGGACAGAGAACAGCGGCAAAGCAAGTGGGCCTGAGCTGGACT